GTGGAGTGTAAATGTGTGGTGTGGCATTGTTGATGGTTAAGTGATTGGGCCGTATTTTTTCAACGGAACAGTCACCGGTCAACGCTATTTACAGTTTTTACAAGATGACCTCCCAGTTTTATTGGAACATGTACACTTTGACACAAGACTAAGAATGTGGTTCCAACAAGACGGTGCGCCACGGGCATTTTGCACTTTGTGTAAGGAATTATCTCAATGTTCTGTTTCCTCGTCGTTGGATCGGCAGAGGTGGTCCTGTTCTTTGGCCTCCGCGAACACCTGATCTAACTCCACTTGATTTTTATTTATGGGCCTACATTAAAGATGTAGTGTACAAAAATCGACCAACGACTGCAGAAGACATGAAAACACGTATCAGAGGCGCTATTGCCAACATTTCTCAACAAGCGACTCGAAATGTTGTGCAGAGTTTCCGACGTCGACTTGAGTTGTGTCTTGAAGTGAATGGTGGGAACATTGAGCACTTGTTGTAACGTCTTTCTGGTAGAAGAATCCATTGGCGCCTTTTTGTTTCTCCTTTATTTTTCTGTTTATCGTGTCTGAATTCGGAATATCGTTGACAAGTTCCATTTTTAGTATTTTTGAGCTCAGAAAGCATAAAAAACACATTATGTGTGACATCATTAGATTCATCTCATCGAGTACGACAAGTTTTGTTACAAGAAAATTTTTGATCCCATATGAAAAAAATGAACTTCGCTTGTAGCATAAAATCATGAAGACTTAAATGCTCAAAACATATCTCATTATTTTTCCCACTTGGAGCCCTACAACTTCTATTTGAAAGATTTTTCGATTACTACCCACATTCAATAGTTATTTGGGTGTACAATTTTATCTCGGACACCCTGTATACAATCATTATATGTATGTTATTCGAGTAGTTTGGTGACAATAATGGAACTTTCCAGCACACGAGAAATGGAGTACTGGTCACTTTGGTGACGGTCACCGAAGTGATCACGCGTGTGAAATGTCTTGTGTGAAGGAGATGGCTCACTGCAAATTTAACACCAGCCATTGTATTTAAAGGAAACTATTAAAAAAGATATTTTTCAGTATCCAAAGCAAAACATTGTTATTATGTTCGAGGTTTCAGATTGATTATTTTATAGTTTGACTTATGGTAGGGAATTTGTTTGTAAAATAATCTGTTTGTAATTTTGTAACTTATTTATTTTCTTTGATCACAAGAACAGTCTGATCTTTTGTTTTGAAAGTAAGGTGGGAATTTCTGTTCGAGAATTTTGATATTATTCAATTATTTTATTACCAAAATAACCCACCCATTTCAGCATCTTAGGAGTAGTTGAAACCAAGCCGCCTCCGCGGTTGATATACTGACTGGTCGGTAACTGTCGTTATCGTTATTGAGTTATCTGGATTTTTGGTCGTTTTTAATAAAACGTCCTGTTATGCCCCAGAAATACAATTAATTAAGAAATAGTATTAGGTAATTTTTCATCGATCTAGATAATATGAGGACATGCGAAATGGCACATCTAGATAATATGAGGACATGCGAAATGGCACATATTATTCAAAACATGTAATGCCAAATCAGACAAT